AGCAGGGGGGGATTGCAGATTTGCGATGGAGGGGGGAATTGGAAAATTGCAGGTGCAGCGAAGGTGAGTGGCGACGAAGAAGAAACTGGGGAGTGGCGGCGATTGGGGAAGAAGAAACGGAGAGCAAAGAAGAAACTGGGGTGGGGGAATCGAAGGAATGAGTAAGAAATCCGGGTATAAGTCGGGGAATGGGAAAAGCGTGAAACGGGTAATCAAAAACTTAAAAATAGGGTAAGGGAATGAATTTTTTTTAAAACAAACCACAACAAAGGGAATGAGGGAATCACATTCCGTTTCCCCATTCCCTTACCCCGAACCAAACGCCCCCTAATTTTACGTATTGTTCATGAGTAACACTTTTTCCAAAAAAGATTGTATTTTTTGCTGGTCAAAATGCTAAAATCATGAGCGACAAAAATGAAAAATTTCACAGCGACATAGAATCATTTTAATTAATTATAGACAGTTTTGGTCAGTGTATGACATGTAAATGAAGTGACGTGTCTTGACCTTTCTATATTTTTTTGACGCAGTTTAATTATTATAAATTATACGAGTATTACATGTCTTTCTACATAGAAATAGGTAGGGGTGGGCACGGGCTGGTCCGAGCCAAGATTTGTATAAACTGGACTCGACTTATTTTTTTTAAAACGGTCCGGGCCGAAACGGGTTTTCAAAATTTTAAAATTGAAACCGGACCTAATCCGGCTTTTTTGAAACGGGCCGATTCCACGGGTCAACGGGTCCGAACCTATCATTATACTAATATTAAAAAAATAAAGAGATAATAAATTAATTTAAGCCATCCAACATAAAAAAAGAGGCGTAAATGAAAATAAAGCGATGACAAAGAGGGGCATGAGAGTAAAGTGTACACCCCATGATCATCCAACAACAATAATAAAAAAGAAGACAACCATATGTTGGCATTATAATGTCAATGGATTCCAAAAAGAACAAAATTTGTAATCTTCATGGGTTTTGACTCTCTGACTATGAAAGGTTTTCTTATTTTTCTGTCATCGATTGGAAGGACCAACAGATTGAAGGGCTTAAGCGGGTATATTTCCATATATCCGTATATTTACTAAAAATAATATTAAAAATAATATTGGAATTTAAAAAAACGGTCCGATCCGGGTCCAATACAATTTCAAAATGAGGAACCGGACCGACCCTAAAATTTGTAAGGACCGGACCGACCCGGACCATTTTAAATTTTTGAAAAGAGGATTCGACCCTAACCCGGACCGAACCTAGCGGTCCGGTTCCGACTCCCGGTTCCTGGACCCGATTGCCCACCCCTAGAAATAGGTGTACTTTATTCAAAAAAAAGTTTCTTGTACAAAAAATGGCTCGGCACATGCCTTGGGTGAGTTGGGTTGGGTCAAGGTGACACACCCTTGCCACGCCACGAGACCGGGGATGAAGTCGGACAAAGCGAGAGGCGGGTGAGTTCCAAGCAGCTATTGATGTTCTAATCATATTTTTTTTTAGATAAATTGATTTGGATTAGAGGGTAATAACTATTTTTAATTTGTCAACAAATAAGATTCTTGTTTACTACTCACAATGTTAAGTTAACTTCAATTTGACTATATTAACTAGGAAATATCGATCTTCTTCATGTATGCAAGCTTTAAAATATTCCCGCTGTCCCATTTTAAATTGCATGTTTGCATTTTTTCTCCGTCCCAAAATAAGTTGCCTGTTAGTTGTTATCGTAAACTTTTATGAGTAAAATATCTAAACTACCCCTAAAATAAGTCACTCTTCTCAACCTTATCTTCTCATTCATCGTTATCCCTTCTAAAAAGTAATGGCAATTTCGAAAAATCAACTCTATTTTTTATTTTCCTTAAATATGCACAAAAGTCAAAACAGACGATTTAAAACGGGACGGAGGGAGTAATTACTCTCACCTTTCCTAAATTATCTTTCTTTTTACTATTTGAGATTTTCAAAATTTATAATTTGATAAATAAAGTGTATATATTAGTAATATTACAACTTGTCTTATAAAAATATTGCTGTAATGTTTAAATAGCTGAGTTGTAATATTTATTTTTCATATTAATTTGTAAATAAAATAAATTCAAATGAGATAAATAATACACATTATTTGAAAGGGTATATTAAAAGAATTGGAACGCCCGCCCTGGGCGCCCTCGCAGTCCGGTCCAACAAAATTGTGAGGAGGTAAATCATGGTATAATCTCAATTTGATTTTTAGAGAGCCCGCACGTTACTTAGTGTACACAAGAAGCTATTATAAACAATAAAATTCTTACACTATCAGGATCAAAATTCAATCTTAGAATCAATGACTCATTCAGCTTCACATCTTTTTCTTTGATGTACTCAAAGTCTGAAAAAGTCCCTAGCGCATTGTACAGTCGGCAATCATTATTTTTGGAGAGAGACTCATATCGTCAAATCCATCAAACCATATGACATGACATAACCTTTTTACTTGACACAATCCCAAATGTATCATTATTCTTGGTGTTTATGTGGATTACCCTCTACTTTTTTTTGATATTCCTTCTTGTCCTAAAAGATTGAGACAATTTAATTAAAATGAAAATTTAGTAAATTTTGAATTATTTTAAAATATACTCCATAGTTTAGAAATATTAAATTTTTATACGGAGTAATATTTAATCATTTTAAGAATTTTTTATTCATAGTCAAAGAATACCATAATTTGACCAAAAAAATTAAATTGTGTCAATCTTTTAAGAACAGATGGGATATTAAAGTACTCCCTTCGTCCCTAATTTAATTACAAGTTGGAATTTACAAGGCAAAATATCTAGTCTTTTAAAAGTATTTTATTTACAAATTGATCCATCAATAAAAATTAAAAATACATATTTAAAAACTACGTCAAAAATTCTACAAAATGAGAGATGTGAAAAATATTTTATTTTATCAAGTAATCTATAATAACACACATATAAACAAAAGCTAACAAGATGAGAGAAAATATTGTAATTTAATTCGGGACAAAGAGAGTACTCCCTCCGTCCCGTACGTTTTAAATCATCTGTTTTGACTTTAGGGCATATTTAAGGAAAAGAAAAATTAGAATTGATTTTTGAAAATTGTCATTACTTTTTAGAAGGGGTGACTATGAATTAGAAGATAAGGTGAAGAAAAATGACTTATTTTAGGAGTAGTTTAGGTATTTTATTTTTAAAAATTTACGAAAACAACTAACAGACAACTTATTTTGGGACAGAAAAAAAAGGCAAACAGACAATTTAAATTGGAACAGAGGGAGTATAAAATATCATCTCTTTTTTTAAAAAAAATTATTCATAAATAACTAAAAAATTATTTTGAAATAATTTTCTCGATTATCTACTAAGAACTCTCAAGTCACGTATTTTCTGAAATTTACTCCGGGCTTATAAAGTTTGTGATATCATACTTCAATGATACACTTCGTCCATTTAAGCGTTACGATTGAAAGTTCAATTACTTTGACAATTGAAATATTTTATTAAAAATCAATAAAATTATGATTGATTAAATGGGTAAAAATTAAAGGAATGGGATTTTCAATCCTAATGGCCAAATAGAAGGAATGTGCTCTGAGTACATCATCACAAATTTTAAGGATCACCAAAGTTTATTTCAAATGATTTGGGACTTGAATTTGGATTTTTATCAAAAAGTCAATGATACTTCGAAGTATATTTCAAATAATATAGGACATAGGAGTTCTTAACAAAAAATCGAGGGTATCGCACAGTAATTTTCTGATAAATAACACTGTGATTCAAAAATATAGATATCAAAAGTTCTACAGAAAATATGAGAATATTATTTTATTTAATCAACGTATCAATGAGAATATGTATATAAATATAAGATATGTGGTGATAATATTTAATACAGAAATTGAATTTGAAATGGGATAAGTATGTCCTTTAAAATGGCATAGAGCAAAAAAAAAAAAGAACAAAAGGTGATGGTCCAAATTGGGAAGCCTCTAAAGGTTTTTTTGGGCCTAGAAGAGATTGGGCCGTTATCCTTCCACTGCCGAGAAGAAGAGATTTTCGCTGCTCTGTGAAACCAGCCTCACGCATTGCCCTCCATATTAGTGGACTAGACTCCCATTCTTTCGAATGAGAACCTTAGCCCAAATCCCGGCTTGGAATGGGCGGCCCAATAATTACCTTCTTCGGCCCGACCTTCGAGATCAACCCAACGTCCTACCACCTCATAGCCCCCACTTGGGTTACAAGCCCACGTTACTGAGCTCAGCGAACGTACTTTAAAACTGCCCATTTATTAAGAAGAAAAGTATAATCTGGAAATCCGGTGTGGGAAAAATAAATGCCTTCCTTTGTTTTCCGCTAACAAGCTCCGCTTTGTTTTACTCCCTCCGTCCCTGAGTGTTTATCCACTTTCATTTTTGCACACCATCCAATGCACTTCTTTAATCCATTTTATCTTGTAATTTGTATATTAAAAAATAATAAAAATTATATATTAATAATCTATATGTTAAGACGAATCAAACAAGATCACACATGACTATTTTTAGGCTTACACATTGAGAGAATCTGATGAGTCAAAGTGCTTAGATGAACAGTTCCAAAAGTCAAAAGTGGACAAACACTCAGAGACGGACCAAATATTTTTTTATTGAATCCATGTTCTCCTTGCATATTCCATGAAAATATAAATACTCTTCCTTGTCAATATGTTTTCCTCTCATATATTAAAGAGTTGATATACTAATTCCTTACCCGGATATAAAGAACTCACTGTATGAATTTACCATTTTAAGTCTCGCACAATGGAAGCTCTACAAGAAGCTGATCACTGCCGTCACGTATATTAGATAGGATTTCACGCACAAAAGTTGTTGTCAATGGGTCACCGCTAAAGAGGAACTATCATCCCCTTGGATCAGGTGGCCACCCCTCTCTTATCTTCATTACATGTTGTACCCAAAATAGGGGTATTCGGTTGTACCAAATAACTTGAGTGTATAATTTTTTTTAATATTGTACAAAATATTTGAAATAAGTTATATGAAATGACTAAATATACTATTTCCATCCAAATTTGTTAAATTCATTCTCTAAATTACAAAGAATGATTTAAAAAAATACTCCGTATATACGAAGAATGATTTAAATAAAAGGTTTCTATACTAGACCTAACATCCACAAAAAATTGTGATCCTTACATATTTTTTATTGCCTCTATCTCCCAATTTTTGTACAACTTTTTTTGCACTCACAATTGAGAAACTTTGACAAATGATTGAATAGAATTTAAATAATAGGTATTATTATAAAAATACTTTTATGAAATTTATCGTATCTTATAAAATATTATTTCATCTAAATAATATGTCGTGTAATTTTTATTGAAATAAGTTCTGATCTGATCTAATCGGATCTGATCTAATCTAGTCTAGTCTAATCTAATATGATCTGAATGTAATTACTCCCTCCGTCTCGGAGTATTCGTCCAGTTTTGACTTTTGGAACTATTCATCTAAGCACTTTGACTCATCAAATTCTCTAAATGTGTAAACCTAAATATAGTCATATGTGATCTTGTTTGATTTGTCTTAACATATAGATTATTAATATATAATTTCTATAATTATTTAATATACAAATTACAAGATAAAATGAATTAAAGAAGTGTATTGGATGGTGTGTAAAAATGAAAGTGGACAAATACTCTAGGACGGAGGTAGTATATTTTTAATATATTTTTGTTCTGATCTGATCTGATTTTAGTAAGAATAAGTAATAAGTAAAAAAATAAGTTAGGAAGAACATGTCTAAGTTTTTGGAAAATTAGGTCTGGTATTTTGGAAAATTAATTAATTAAAAGACCATCCACTCGAGACTAATATATCTAGTTGTTCACCAAACCTATTCCAATCTAATCTCAGGTTCCTAGTCATTATGCTCATGTCTAGCGACATGAATTATCAATGAAAATAAGTAAAAGAATAGGCAAATACTCCCTCCCCTAAAGTGGCAAAACAAGGAAGCTAAGTGATAATTTTGTGTTGACTTTTCAAAAATATATATTCTTGATGTGATGAGTAAAAATAGAATGTGATGTGTAGATCATTAAAAAAATGGTATGATGTGATAGGTAGTGTATGATAAAATAAGGAGTAAAAATGATTTTTTTAATAGAAATGAGAAGGAAATTGTAAGGCATCATTTAATTTTTTGAGACGTAAGGGACTTTTGGGACGGAGGATTTATGTTTATTTTGGAAGGGAGCCGTATAAATTACTAACAAGAAGCACGAAACCATTATAGCCCGCCCTTTAATGAAAAAACCACTGCAAGCTAAGAATGACAAATTATTTAATGATTCCTCCAAACATGGTATAGAATTTATTCACATTACATTCACTTAAAAAAGTACTCCTGCATGCATGTTTTCTTGTCATATACGGAGTATATAAACACAAGCATAATACAAGTAATATAATACACTAATCTAGTTATATCCTCTGCAATTAATCACTTAATAAAATCTATCACATCACAAGAACAAGAAGAAGAAGAAGAAAAGATGAAGGGTGGGATGGCATTATTATTGCAGGTGGCCATTGTTGTGCTGGCAGTGTTGAGTGTGGGGAGGAGAGGAGTACTGGTGGAAGGTGGCGGCGGCGGCGGTGACCTGATTTGCGAGCCAAAGGACTGTTTACTGTGCTGCGCCGTGAATTGCAAGGGAAACCCCAACCCCAGCTGCTATAACGACTGCGTTAAAGCCTGTGGTGGTGACGTTCATGAAGATATTCTCGTCCTCTCCGGCGGCCGAGTTCTTCCATATCCGCCGCTTGCCGCCTGATCATTAATGGATGTGATGTAATTGGTTTGTTTATTTGGAAGAAATAAATAAAGAAATTAGACATGAATGTGTACCTTTCGAAAAAAACACATGAATGTGTTCTGTTCTTTTTTTTTTTATTATGGGTTTTCGGTAAGAGAAAATTAAGTATACTTTTATGAATTAAATAAGGGTAATTTATTTAAATAACACTAAAACATAATGACTTTTTCTATATAGCATCACGTGTTTTTTTTCCAATGTAGCACTTTTAGTCATTATTCAAGTAAATGTTCTTCATCACTGGACGTTATTAAGTGCTATTTAGGAAATAAAATAGTTTAAGTGCTATTTAGAGAAATGACTTAAGTTTTAGTGCTATTTAATGTAAATCTTTCAATAAATAAAGCCTATATACTTCTTCCATTTTAGAAAACATTTTCTCTTTTGTTTTATTTGCTTTCTTCTAAACACTTTTATTTTTGCAAAACATGTATAACACTCCCTCCGTCTCACAAAACATTAGCCATTTTTATGTATTTTTGGTCAAATAATTCTACACTCTGACCATAAATTATTGCAAAAATCATCGCAATATATTCTATCCTTTTTACATTGATATTATAAGTTATTTACGTAATTTATTTCTCTTTTTTCTTCGACACGAAAAATAAAATAAGAAAGTTGAATTATAAAAATAAATCTTGTCAGAACTAAAAAATAGGAATTATTTAAGTGATTTATATGCATATGCCCATTTGGAGTACGTCATATTAGCTCAAGCAATAAAAGATTATTTGATCATTTGATTGTCCTACTATTCAATAAAAAAATATATATTTGATCATTTGATTGTCATGTTTTCCTTAACTTATTCGAACGGGCCAAATAACATCAGTACTCTCCGCGGTTTAAAAAACAGGCACTAATATCCTTTAATTTCAAAATTTATTTCAAAAATTTTCGTGGTTTCAAAATGTTCCATTCATACCATCTCTAATAATTTTCCAGCTATTTTCCAGTGAAAAAGGGGTACTGGTGCCTAAATTTCCAAACCATAGGGGGCAAAGGTGCTCATTTCTTATTTTTCATTTATTTATTTTTTTTCTCATTTTTTCTTTTATTTTTTTTAATCAAGGTTTTTTAAATTACTTTTTAAATTAAAAAAAGTACGTCTAAAATTAACAACTTTTATTTTTTGTTTTCTGAAATAAAAAAGTAACAACTTTCTTTGAAAACTTTAAAAAATAAGAAATAAAATAAGAAATGAAATAAAATTAAAAAATGAAAATGAATATCCTTTTTGGACATCCAATTCTAAGGACTTTTTTCGCGTTTTGAAAATTCGTTTTTGTATAAGACTCTTTTTTTTCCATGTTCTCGGATAGTACTACACCAGAACCCGACCTGGCCTTAAAACCCAAAACTCATACCCAAACCCAAACTCGACTTTTAAACTCGAAACCCGAACTGATCTGAACCCGAAACGCAAACCTGACTTTTTTTAATTTATTTTTTAATTCCAACTCTGTAATTTTTAATTTATTTTTAATTTCAAATTTTTTATTTTTAAATTTTTTTTTCAATTTGAGATTTTAACTTCTAAATATCAAAGTTTAAATTAGAAATTTTAAATTTTAACTTCGAAATTTGAAAATCAAATTTTTAACATTTAATTTTAAGCTTTAATTTTTATATTTTTATCTTTTTTTTTTTACTTTTTTACTATTTAATTTCTTAAATTTAATTTATAAATTTTAAATTTCAAATTTTAGGTTATAAAATTTAATTCCAATTTTTTTAAATTTTTAATTTTTAATTTTAATTTTTTTATTGTTTTAGTTTTAAATTTGAAATTTTTTTAAATTTTAAATTTTAAATTTTTAGTTTTGAATTTGGCATCTTTGATTCATCAAAATACTCAAAGTCTGTCAAAAAAGTCAAAAGTCAGCCAAAAAGCTGATTTTCGAATACACTTAGAGCATTGGCAATAACAAGGCAAAAATGAAATGCCACACGGTGACATGGATTATTTCAACCAATAAAAAGTAATCTAGTCATTGTGTGACAAATGAGTGGAGTGTCGTAACATACAGTGGCAAGTCGTTGTTTTTATCTATTTTTGCACTTTTTAATGATTTTTAATTATAAAAAATTATTTTAAAAATCTATTTTATTATTAAAATATGTTTACTTCTTTTATAAAATATTTTTTCAAAAATTACAAATATTAAAAATATTAAAAAAATAAAAAATAAGAGAGTCATGCCTTGCACATGGAATGAAAAGTGTGGTGGAATGACCATGGAATGCCATGATTTGAGTGGAATTTGGTGACATACTGACATGGCATGGCAAGGTAAGGCATTGTCTTGCCATTGTGAATGCTCTTTAAAGTCTATGTAAAACCTGTTTCTTTGTTATGATTCTAAAAGCATCCACGTGCTTTTATTTTTACTCATAAAAATCAAAGTTTGGATTTCAAATTTTTGTGTGTTATACAATTAAAGATGTGGAATTGGAAAACTTAGAATTATAATTCAATTCCAAATTTACATATTTTTATGATGCTAGACAGCAGAGTTAGAGTTGAAGTCTCAAATTCAAATTTAATGGCATGAAATCCGTGTACCAAATGGAGCATAATTTTATACTCCGTATTTCATATTAATACAATAAAGTAAAATTTTGGAAGTCCTCTACAAGATATATCTAATGAAATTGTAGATATATTCTCTGGATTATTCTATTTTTTTTAATTGATGTTCAAAATACGTCTAATTTAACTCTGAAAAATTAATCTACACGAGTAAACTAAGACAATAGTAGTATATTAAGCTTCTTTCGGCTGGAGTGGTTGAACAATTATTTCCCAATATTCATGTTGAAGTTTATTTTGATTCCTGGCAAGGCAGATGCAGTGCCTTATGGTGCATTATTTAGTTAAAGAATATAAAAATAAATTGCATTGTACTCCCTCTACCCTAAAACTTTCTTTCTGGTTCAATTTACGAGTATTGACTGAAGTTATTTTTAATTCAGCTTATTTAACTATATAAGTGAAAAATTAAAAATTAAAAATATACTCCTTCCGTTCTACAAAACCCTTTTGGTTTTGACTTTGGGGAAAAAATAAGGAAAGTGTAATTTTGGTTGACTTTCCAATTTTGCCCCTGATGTGATAGGAAAAAGTATGATGTGATAGTTTGGTTATTAGTGAAAAAGTATGATGTGATAGGTATGGTATGAAAAAGTATGGGTAAGATTGGTTTTTTAATAGAAAGTGGAAGTGTTTTGTGGAAAGCAAAAAAAAACGAAAGATGAAAGGTTTTGTGGAACGGAAGAAGTATATATAAAAACTACATCAAAAGTTTTACAAAACAAGAAATGACACAATGCAACTATATTGTTTTACTCTGATATCAATTAACTAACAAAAATAGATAAAGAAAGAGACTAGAATTTGACTGTGAAATACTAACTGTAGAAAGTTTCAAGACATACAAAGTAATAAAAATATTAGCAATAAAAATAGTTCTACAAAACTAGAGAACTAATATATCAAGGCCATGTGTTATGACGGGCTAAGGTGTATGATCTGAAGTGATGAAAAATATGTGTTATGATGAATGTGAAAGAATGTGATGAGGTGTGAATACGTCGCATACAGCAACGCCCTTTTCAAGCAAAGTGTGGCATAGAAAGAGGGACGTGAGAGAGGGTGGTGAAGCAACTTTTTATGCTCCATAACACATAGTCTTATTTCTGTGCTAAAAAACATATTAACTCTGTATTATTTTAGTCTATGATATTAGTACTCCTTAATGAGCATGAATTCTTTCTTGAGAATAATAATAGATCAAAACTCAATAAAAATAGGCCGACCTATAAAACAACTGTATCTGTGTGAGTTAGTGGTTGAAGATGAAGAAGAGGTTTCCATTAATAAATACTCCGTATAATAATATCCTCAGCAATGGGAAGTTGCAGAAGGCGGAAGGGTGAAGAAGAGATAGACATGGGACCCATCTCCGACGCCGTAATCCGCCAGTAGAGCCCCATCGTCGGACATCAAACACTGCTCCTCGCCGCCGCCGTCCATCACCAACACCAATCTGTCCCGCGGAAGCTGCTTATCTTGGACGCAGATCTCCTTCTTCAAGTCCAACACGGTGGCGCCGTCTCCCAGCCGGACATTGAACCACCGCCCCGTCAGTATCTCCACCGCCACCATCATCATCATCTCGCAGATCTTCGATTCTTAAATATATTTTGGGGTATTTATTTATGAAATTTTACTGTGACTCCAAAATATGCCAGAAATTAAAAAGGCATGGGACAATTTTGGAATCACTGGTTAATTCGTTCCTATAATTAGAAGATTGAATCAGCTTTTCTTAATTATTGCCCGAGATGGATCTTAATTGCTGGAATTGGTCTTCCATAATTATCGTTTCCTTTTCCCCAATTAATTCTTGTTAGAATTTAGAAGTATTAAAATTTACATTCGTTTTTTCCTCCGGTAGAAAAGGAAGGGGACGACGTTTTCGAGTAAGGTTTGTATTTTTGGATTATTTTGTATCAAATGAACAAAAACTTACTTTTGCCTTCTTTGAGAACAACATTTTCGATCAGTGTTATCGTTTTAGATAAAATTTTAATAGTGTAGATTAATTCTGGTCCTGTTTGGGACTAGTGTTAGTATTTAGCGTTGGCATTTTAAAAAAGCTATCTACGACCAGCATTTAGCATTAGCATTTTCAATGCAATACACCGTTAAAATTTTATCTAAAACACTAATGTTAATCTCTACCGTTATTTCCAAATAGGCCATCTGAAAACGATAACGCTAAAAGCTACCGTTAGATATCATTTTCAAAATGCTAACTCTAATATTTAACGATGATACCGAACAGAAGTTTCATCCTTTTGACTTAATTTCCTTGCTATAGATTTTCTTTTCAAACAAGATGTAGCTCATTCCTGAGAACCTATCAAAATTGGTGGGACTAACACTTTTTTCCAAAAACAGTAAAATGTAATCCAAAATAAAATAAAAAATAATCCAACATAATTTTAATTTGTCTAAAATATTTGAAGTTTTTGAACGCTGAGTGGTGTAGGATTAAGTGTTAAGATCTCGCTTCAGATCTCCCTCCGTCTATAAATTGTCTTCTTACTTCCATTTTCACTCGTTCACGAATTATCTTCCTATTTCTATTTAGGCATATTTTATGTGTAAAATATCCTCCTTGTCCTTAAAGATAAATTTCAACTTTTTCGTCAGTCGCCACTCATTTCTTTCTTCTTGTACCTCTTTTTCTTGAAAAATGCTAGGGGTACACCAAATGGTGTACCCCATATGTCTCCTACTCCCTCCTTGTCCACATAAATTGGCAAGCAATTCAAAAAAATATAAATAAAAATCAAATATAAATGGATGGTGGAGAAGGGGGTGGTGTACATTTGGGGTACATCAAAGGTGTATCCCTAACATTGCTCCTTTTTCTTTGTTTCCTTCTCTACCCAATCTCAGCCACCAACTCCTTTCTTCATCTTCTCTTTGCGTTTATTAGAATCATTTGGAATTTTTATTTTTCAGATATTTTAAAATTCTTGGAGGTTGCAGAGGTTGGAGGTGACACAGTAGAGTAGTGAGGCGGCAGTCGGAGGTAAAATCTATTCCGGCTGCAAACATTGGGATCAATTGCAAAAATCTATTCTCAATCGATTGCACATCCCTACCTTCAATTGGTGTGAAAAATGTAAGGACCGCACATGCCCTCAACAAACCTCCCCTTAAACCCAGATCACAATCTCCTGATCTCCCAATGTGAAATTATCTGTTAGCTGTTTGATGTTCTTTAGCTAATATGGTTTTAAGTTTTAGTATGGGTCCAAACCCATTATGTCAATTAGTGTGACAATATCTATATATTGTAATCTTTTATCATTATTTAATGAGAAATTTATCTAAATGGAACTAAAATATAATGACTTTCTTAATATAGAATTATATGTTAATGTCCACCATCACTCGACATTATTGTCTCACTAGACATTATTAAGTCCTATTTAGGAAATAAAAATGTTTAAGTCTTACATTGGGAAATAACTTATGTTTTAATCATATTTAGTACAAATTTTTCTTATTTAATCAAGCAATAAGAATATCATAAATACTAGTCACTCTTCTCTTTTCTTGGGAGCTCGTTAACGCTCAAAGTTTTCTATTCTCTTCTCTCCTCTTTTTACTGGAGATTGAAAAACGCTCAAAATTCTTCCTTATCCGATATAATATTTGATTAGAGAGACAAAGTAAAATTAACTTATACCGTCTGTCGTATTAATTTTGGTTTTACATCAAAAAGTTGAAAATTATTCGGTTTGTCCTCAAAATATTTACCAATTTTGGCTTGTTGTCCATATGTTTTTATTTTTCAACATTTTATAATCTTTGTACATTTATAGTGAATAATTAATTTGAGACTGAAAAATTAGAAATTGAATAAATTTTTTATTTTTAAATGCTACATGTACCCCATATTGTACCCCATTTTGTACCTCAATGTTTTGCCCTGACATTAAATGTAGGTGCAAAACTGGTAATTTTCCAGTGTTGCACCTACATTAAATGTCAGGTTAAAGCTTTGGGATACAAATTTGAATACAAATATGGGGTACATGTAGTATGGTCCTTAAAAATAATAACTCCTATTAAAGAATAAAGAGAAAAACGCAAGGAGTAATGATGGCAATTCTATGTACTCTGTATATTATTATTATTATTTGAAAATTCAAAAAATAATTTTGTTAGGGTCATCTGGTCATAATTTTTTATTTCTTATTTTTTATTTTTATTTCCACTTTTTAGGATTTTAATAAGAAATTAATTTTATTTATTAATTTTATTTTTATTTTCAATTTTTACCAACGAGAGAAAATAATACATTAATATCTGCATAGTGCCTAAATCTTAATAACGCACCACTCCAAATAGTTTTCATTTTATTTCTTAAGAGTTTGAGGTTGATTTTTTTATTACCTATCTTTTTATTTCATTATCTTTGTATTGTTTTGATTATGTTTCTCATCTTTTATATTTACTTTTTGAATTTTTTGATGTAAAGACTAATCTTTAAAAAAAGAAAAAGAAATGATGAAAAGTAGAAATTCATTTTAAAAATTTAATAGAAAATTTCACAAAAAAATCAATTTAAAATAAAAATTTATAAAAAATAATCGCAACTTTCATTTTGTTGGAAAAAACATGCCTCCGTTAACAAACCGTTAGCCGTTTAACGGTGACTCAAAAATCACAAATTTCAGTAAAATCGATATTAATATGCATGAAGGTAAAAGTTGCAAATTATTTTTGAAAGAGTGTATAAAATAAAATTTAGATTATTCTAGATAATTTTTCCAAATAAAAAACAATAGATATCATACTGAATTTACTCATAAAATATGCTTAGTCCTAATTAAGCAAATAAAATGTGGGGTGCACCAATCTGGCAACTCTGGGACATCCGAATGACAACATTATGAATTAGATTAGGGCACTGTTAGGGAGATTAGGGCAATATTAGGGGTACACCAACATGAGATATTCCATTTGTACATCAAGCTAAGACAGACACGTACAAACGCATAATGTATGTGCTGCACAGACATTATGAGTCTGTGTGTCTGTGTTAGCTTGGTGTACAAATGGGGTACCCAATCTTGGTGTACCACTAGGTTAATTTATTAGATTAGGTTATTTATACACCCAAACTTGTATCCTATTTTGTAACTCAAAAACATGTTCCGACATTTTGTGTTAGTGTGATGCTAGTGTGATTGTTTATATTGAAAAAATGCATGCAAATTTTTTTAAATGAACTAATATTTTGTGCCCGAACATTTCTTTGGTATACTGTATCTTTTTATTGTCAGCCACTCAGCCGTATAAAAACAAAAGTCTACTAAACAAAAGCTCTTTTTGTTTTCTCACCTGGAGTGTGTACACACGACAGGGTTTAAAATTCAAGCCGTAAAGGAAGAGTTAATATATCTGTCAGTTTCTTTTGCTTCCTGCGAAATTTCAAAAATTCATTCATTTGCTTCTCCGATCCTCTCCCGTCCAAGCGTCGCATTCGATTTGTTTGTTACGATATATGAACAGCACCCACAAATGTACTCCGTGTTGATTTACTGATCATTTCCCCTGCTATAGAACATTCAATTTTCTTTCCAGAACTCAAGTGTTTGGGTCCGGAAATCAGGGAAAAAGACGAGAGCTTGCTGTTTTTTTAATGGCGTAACTCGGCCGCTTTGACTTGAACCGACTGGGTTCTCATGATCTAAAGTAACTCAAAGCTGGTATGTTGAGGTCTGGCGATTCTGTGCTTGTTCTTCAATTCGTACTAAGCAGTTCATCGCTCTCGCGTTTTTTTATGTGTTTTGAATTTCTGGTTTAATTTTGATCATCTAAGTCCGCGAGTTCATCAAGTTCCCGAGTTTGATCTTGATTCCCCATGGATGGCTTTCGCAGTTGTGTTATGATCTTCGTTTGGCTCTTCGCTAACTTTTTTACACCCAATTTAACCCTAGCTTGATCTGACAGAATTGTGTTATGATGATGAGACTAGAATCTGATTTTCCTTTCATTCCTTACTTGTTCAAAATGGTAACTATATGCTAGTGTTCATTCATTGCTGTCTCATGAGATTAGAAATAAGATCATATATATGTATGCTGGTTTGATCATCAAGTTCCCAACCATCTGCATTTATCTGTCTTTAATTGGTTGAGATAGTGATATCTTCATCTTGGTTTCTGGATTTAAAGGGAAATGGCCCTAAAGCCGAAGAAAGTGTGGAAGTCGATTATGCCCTTCCATTGGGGTGAAAAACCAGCAGCCCCCTTTTGCGTGTTCCCCAGAGAAAAGGCGGATGTTTATGGTCCCGGCGATACGCCGGTTTATCTTAACGTGTATGATTTGACACACGTGAATGGTTTTATCTACTGGGCTGGCTTTGGTGTCTTTCATTCCGGCGTGGAAGGTAATCGTTGGCCCTTAATTATCTTTTCTTTAATCCCACTTTCCCATCTTTTTTTTTAACTCAATTGAAATATCTTATGTAGCTATATTCCATTCTGAACATTTTGCTTGTTTTGTGAGAAAATGAGAGAATATTGATTGTTTGCTTAGCAGAGAAATTGAGGGGGGAAATTACATGAATTTATTTCCCTCCAATGGCTTTTTTTTGTATTTAAAAAAAACAACACACATTTCAAACCATACATGAAATGCATTGCAGTTTGTAGTAAGTGCCATTTTGGAAGAAATTACTCAGATTGTTAAGTGGAATTTTGGTTTACAATGTTACCACTCTCAAAACTCTTACTCTCATTCAATACAGAGTTTTTTTGAAGTACTAAAGGAGAGTCCCTAGAAGGGTAAAAATGGAAACATAGCATTATTATATGATGTCTTGGTATTCTAAACACACTTATTCTGAACCAAAAACTCTCCCACCAAAGTGACTCTAAAAACCAAAGATAGCATCAAGATTAATAGTTTCTTGCAGTTCATGGTGTAGAATATGCATATGGAGCTCATGATCTTCCAACCAGTGGTGTATTTGAAGTGGAACCAGGGCAATGCTCGGGCTTCAAGTTCAGGAAGTCCGTGCTTGTTGGGACCACCAGGTTGGATCCCGGCGAGGTCAGAGAGTTTTTTGAGCACCAATCTGAGATCTATAGCGGCGACACGTATCACTTGGTCATGAAAAACTGTAACCATTTTTGTGAGGACATATGTTACAAGCTTACAGGCAAGAAAATCCCAAAGTGGGTTAACCGGCTCGCAAAATTAGGTACTCTTTTTTTTTTGAAAATTACATGAAAAAATATATGTTCTCTAATAATATTGTTTATATAGGTTCAACATTCAACTTCATGTTACCAGAGGGCCTCAAAATTGATGGTGTACAACGGGACCCAAGTAGGCGCGAACATGAACGTGAGAAGAGAATGCTGAAGATGGATTATTGTCGCATTCCTTCCATTTCAAGTAGCCAGAGGTGTTTTTCGGCATCTTCTTTGTTCCTGCGATCGCCATTGAAAGCGTGCTTGCCATCATGGAAATTGAGCAGGTCCACCAATCTCTCCTTGAAGGAAAGATGAGTATGCAATCCCCCTTAACTGTCTTTCTCTTCAAGAAAAAGACTTCCCTTTTTCTTTTTAATGAAAAAAATTTACACAATGTAAGAACCAAGAACCCTTCAAAGTTCAAACCAGTTTGGGTATGACACTCAATTTTTTAAAAAACACAATGTAAGAACAAGTGGGTCTTGAATCCTAGGCTTTGGTTTTGTTTTTTTGCAAATTCTGGTTGAACGGCTGTTTTAGAATTGGTAGATTATAGGGAATTGGGTGGTTGATAATTGTTCATCTAACACATGTAAATGCATATTCGTTCAACGGTTGTGCTAGAGGGACACCAAGATAGTGACTTCATTTTGATCCCAAGCATTACACCGACACACATAGATAGTAAAGGTCTATGCACGCAAAGACCTTTACTATCGTGCACCGATCTTTACAGTCGGTGTGTGTCTGTATAATGCTTGAGGTCAAAATGGTGTTACCATCTTGGTGCCTCCCCATCATTTTTGTTCGTCCAAACTTAAAATGTGCATCCATGAGAGTTTAACGTATGAGCTATTTTAGAATAAAATTGAGAATTACAAGAAAACTCAGGTAACGTTCAAGCAATCAAATTATTTTAAAATTATTCAAACATTTTGTTAAGTGATATGACTATCATTTTATAATATGTATGACGAAAAATATGGATTCTGTAGTATTGAAAAAGGAGAACTTTATTTTAGTTTAGAAATATACTCTGTATAAGTTAAGATTTATTATCAAACTAATGAAAATGGGGATAAGTATTTCCTCTCACATTTTAGAACCTCATGTTACTTATGGACAACTATGTTGATCATTCGTAGCGATTGTCAGATGGAAATAATCACTTCCAAATAAAAAATACGGAGTATACAATAATAAAAGAAGATACGCTTTCACCAAAATTGTACTCCATTCCTTCTAAAATAGTGTTTATATTTGATACTTTAGAATTAAAGAATTTTTAACCAAACCATAAACTAAAAAAGAATATATTAAAACAATATATTAAATTAAATTTAATTTGTTTGCAAATGAAATTTTGGACTATCATACTCCGTATTTTTATCCAAAACAAAATTGTAGAAACCTAGTCTGCGTTTGACATCAAAGTTAGAGAGTAATATTAAGAAAAACTTATGTGACGCTAATTTTTTGCATTAGCATTTCTACAATTAATTTTATCATTAAAATTTTATTCAAAACTAAAAGAAAATGTTTTTTCCAAACTATAAAGATAAATATGAACCGTTAAAATGACACATTAGAATTTAGATATCATAAAAAAATGGAAATACTACAAGTATAAATTTGAGAGAGATAGAAAATACTCCTTCCGTTCCTAAATAGATTACAATTTTTTTCTCTCCTCTCGATAACTTTTGTTTATTTTCGCGATTTCATTAAGTATTTGATAAAATAAAATATTCTTGTCATCTCTTGTTTTGTAGAACTTTTGACGTAGTTTTTTAATATATAATTTTTATACTCCCTCCGTTCTCCATAAATCTTTTCCCAATAGCCCTTCTTTTGTCCACAATAGATCTTCTCATTTCAGTTTTTAACAATTAAAATACCACAACTACCCTCACTTACTTTATTTATTACACCTCACCCACCTTATTTAATACACTCCACCCATTTTCATTAAGGGCATTATGGTAAACTTTTACCTTTTTTCAAGTCCACCAAAAGTCAAAATGAGAACAATCTTAGGGGGACAGAGGGAGTACCTTATTGATATACCAATTTATAAATAAAATGATTTCAAAAAATAGAAATTTTTTTTCGTAACCCACAATTTATAATCTATTTAGGGACGGAGGAAATACTCACTCCGTCCCAGAGTATTAGTCTAGTTTTGACTTTTGGAACTGTTCATCTAAGCACTTTGACTCCTCAAATTCTCTCAAAGTGTAAGCCTAAATATAGTCATGTGTGATCTTGTTTGATTTTTCTTAACATATAGATTATTAATATATAATTTCTATAATTTTTTAATATACAAAATACAAGATAAAATTGATTAAAGAAGTGCATTAGATGATGTGGAAAAATGAAAGTGGACAAATATTCTGGGACAGAGGTAATAATTAATAAATGACCTTGTAGGACAAAAGGAGTACTTCCTCCGTCCCAAAATATTTACAACATTTGCTTTTTTAGCCGTCGCGGGAACTTTTGTTTATTTCTACGTTTTCATTGGTTATTTGATAAAATAAAATATTCTTGACACCTCTTATTTCAAAGAACTTTTCATGTAGTTTTTTGATATGTAAATTTTATTTTTTATATCTATACCAATATGTAAATAAACTGAATTGAAAAAACTTAATATTTTACATCGGGAATACAAGTGTGACAAATATTTAGGGACGAAGGTAGTATGAATTAGGGGGAGAAAATCATGACAATTTATGTCCAATTGGGACCATCATCATCCTTAACTGTTCCAATCAAGAAACGATCATATCCAGCCAAGCTCCATGTGACGTATCGGAATATTCCGGTCGGCTTCAACACACGCGTGCACGCCTCCGTTACCACCACGCGACGGGGAATCCGTCCTCTTCACTGTTCATCATCCCCAGATCTGCAATTTCAATACAGTAAAAAGTTTAAAAATTAATTTTCTAAAAAAAGAAAAGAAGATGATTCGCAACAGTGAAGATAATTGATGGTGATGATGCTAACTCCAATTCAAAATCAATGTCCTTCGGATTCCGGAATGGGCTCCGAACTTCAAAACCTACCGCCCGAAACAATCCGACCCGTCCGGCCCAAATCCATGGACGACATCGCGGCGAAGGACGACCGGCCGCTCCTCAAGCCGGGCTCTGATTCCGCTGCGGCGGCGGCGGAGGATCAAGCCTCCACCCGGGCGCCTCCCGTCCTGAGCAAGGAGGAGCTTGAGAAGTACGCGCCTTACGTCAGGAACGACGTCTATGGGGTTATGGGCCGGGGGGAGCTGCCCGGGAAGGAGAAGCTGTTACTGGCAATCGCGCTGGTCACGCTCTTGCCTCTCAGAGTGGTGGCGGCCACCGTGATTCTGGTGGTTTATTACTTGATTTGTAGGTTCTGCACCGCCTTTTCTGTGCCGAACCGGGAGGACGAGCAGGAGGATTTTGCCCACACCGGCGGCTGGAGAAGGAAGGTGATGCTGCAGAGTGGGAAGTTATTGTCTAGAGCAACCCTTTTCATCTTCGGATTTTACTCCATTCAGGAAACTCATAGGGACAGCGACCTCCACTCAAAATTAAACAATGAGGTACTTTGAGGTTCTGCTTTTTAATGTTTTGTGCTACTTAATGCAAAGAAATCAGTTTTTTTTGTTTCATAGATTGGGTAATAATGTTCATTAGTTGTAAGTATGCTCATAATTTTGAGTTTTATTAGAACTACCAACACAATTTGTGTTACACCTAGCTTCCTAACATGAGATTTATTTACGTGAAGTAGTGTAGCCGAATGCTTGTTTACTTGGAATCAATTTTAGTAGTGCTTCTTCGCTGGTTTTGGGAAGAGGGATGACCATGTCAAGAGCTGGTTGGGATTTACATTCTGAATTTTGTTCAAAACGACCTTGCTCATAGCATCGGCAAATTGCAGAATTCTTTGTTAATGACTGCTTTTGACATTTTTGGTAAATTTGGGAGAGCAAATGGAAGAGTTAATAGATGCTATTACTACGGGTAGATTGTTTGCTTTCGCTGACCTATCATGCGAAGGATTTTTTTATGTAGTCCCTAAGTCATTACAGCCAAAATATTTAAACTATTATAATTCTATTTTGTCTATGATTTAATATTTTTTTTGTATTCAAATGAAGGAACAAGTTTCAGAGCCTGAAAGGCCAGGGGTGATAGTGTCAAATCATGTTTCTTATTTGGATATCTTGTACCACATGTCATCTTCATTTCCAAGTTTTGTTGCCAAGGTAAGCTAGCATTTCTAGAATTGGTTTCCCATTGTTTTTTTGCCACATCTTTTTACTAATTTACCTGACACTGGTCCCTGCTTATATTTCTGAAGAGATCAGTGGCTAAGCTTCCTCTGGTTGGTCTTATCAGGTCAGTTTAATTTTTTATTTTTTCCAATTTAAATATCATCATCATGATTATAAGATTATTATTCATTTCATAATGTTATCATTTGTTAGTTCCTGAGGGGAATTTGTATGTACTCTTTAAATCCTTCAGTCTGGATTTAGCTTTGCATCCTTTAAGAAGGATTTTATGTCTTCTTAAGTTTCAACAGGCTATACATCTTCACATCTCGTACATTTCAAATTTATGTTATTACTTACTCCGTATTAGTTAGAGCATGTTTTGGTAAAGTAAAAACATCGCATGTCATAAGCAATTAGTTGCAATAGAAGACTTATGTCAAGTTTATCGATGGGGTTTGCTTGACCTTCAACCTTTAATATGCTACTTTTTTGAGTTTTGTATGCACACAAATGAAAATATATTGTATGAGCCACCTTATGTTCCTTTGATATGATACTTCTGTTATTGTTATTGTGGCAGTAAATGTCTTGGTTGTGTCTATGTTCAGCGAGAGTCTAGATCACCCAATTTCAAAGGTGTCTCAGGTACAAAACACACATGAAGCAAATTTATTTTCTTATGTTTGGTTACACTATGGAAATGCAAAGGAACATTAGATATGTTTTTTTATACATTTGTTTAGATTTCCTAGTCTTTATATACCAATACTCCGTATAAATTTATTGAGTTTTAGCATATCCTTTATTTTCTCCCATATTTGTTTTACAATTTCGTATATGTTTTTCTTCCAATTTTCTTTCACTAGTATTTTCTGGGTTCCAAAGGGTCCTTTAGTTTAACAAATGATTGCTGATTAATTAAATAGATCTACAACTAAAAGGATGCTAATTTCAATGTCACTTCCTACTATATATTATTAATTGCAGGTGTGGTGAATGAAAGGATCAAAGAAGCTTATCAAAATAAGTTTGCTCCAATAATGATGCTTTTTCCAGGTTATTCATTCTTCCCGATTTTGACATTATTTACTCTTCTGTTCTTTATTGGTGATATGTCACCCCCCACCCCCACCCCCACACTTGTGAAATTGGATTCTGCTCTTGCAATGCAATAACTTCTAAAGCTTATTTAAATGCAATTGTCAAGTTGAAAGAGGCATTTTTCCACTTGCTTCTAAAGTTTTTACTTTGATCTTGCGTTGTTCGTCTTAGTATCACTTAGAAAGCTTTTTATGACTCACAGAGGGAACTACTACAAATGGGGATTTTCTTCTTCCATTCAAGACCGGTGCTTTTTTGGCAAAAGTGCCAGTACTTCCTGTCATTTTAAGGTATCCATACCAAAGATTTAGCCCTGCATGGGACTCTATATCTGGGGTGAGTATCTACTGACAATTATGAAAAGTATTTTTCTTATTGAGCTAAATCAAGAATCAAGCCTTTATCTATTATAGAGTAACTCTATATGCTATTGGCTTTTAAAAAGAAAAACATGGTTATATTTGCTCATGTCGCCCCAAATAAAGGTCATGTTTTATTATGTTATACTCCCTCCGTCCCAGTGTATTTGTCCAGTTTGACTTTTTCGAGTCAAACTGGACAAACTTTGAGGTTCAATTAAATAAAAACCGTAATGTATTTTAACATAAAAATGACTTTATTGGATTTATCGTATTGAGAACTTTCAAAATTGTATTTCATTATGTTAATATGTAATATAAATTGAGAGTAATTGGAGCTCAAAGTTTATCCTGTTTGACTCGAAAAAGTCAAACTGGACAAATACACTGGGACAAAGGTAGTAATTTTTGTTTTCAGACAACTCAATCAAGGTACAAGTTCTCTTATGTATGATCACTTGTACTCCTAAAAACATTTCTCCAATATTGTTTGGAGTAATTCACCAAAACTCTCTGATGCTTTTCTTTATAGGAATTTTGTTTAAAATTTAAAGTTGGCTTTTAAAACCGGACTTTATTATTATTATTTTTGGTACAACAAGTTACTGAAACATGACTTTGTTTATGAAGTGAGAGTACTTTGTAAAGCAGCCCCTTAGATGCCACTTGCCAGTTAGATTTATAGTTTCAATGTTTTCCTGCAGGCACGACATGTTATTTTGCTTCTCTGCCAATTTGTAAATTATATGGAAGTTATCCGGTTACCCGTTTACTTTCCCTCACAACAAGAAAAGGATGATCCAAAGCTTTATGCAAAAAATGTCCGAAGACTAATGGCTCGTGAGGTATGCATATTATCAACAGTTTTTTATACCCTTCAAAACTAATTTTATGGATGTGTTAATTATCATTGTATATACATTTAAATTCCCTGAAGAAGTAATAGGAACACATGAACTAACATGTTTTCCTCTCATGCCAGGGAAATATGGCACTCTCAGATATTGGATTAGCCGAGAAGCGAGTATATCATGCTGCACTGAATGGTAATAATAGAATGTTGTGTACAATTAATCATCAGAAAGAAGAGTGATAATTTCATGGCATTTGCCCTGTTATAATAACTCCAAGTCGTATGACCATACTTGCGGTGTCTGCCATCATTAGAACAAATAAGAGATTACATTTGTCATCATTAGTCATTACACTTACACTAAAAATTATAAACTTTGCCATTATTCTTCTGTAATTGATACTGAAGCACGTTTTAACGCTGCTAATCGAACATAAAAAAAAGTGTTTCTCAGTGACAAAACTCCCACACTTTTTCTTGGGGTGGGGGGTCAGACTTTGTGTGTGTATGAAGTTGCTAGACAGCATGTAAATTGCTTGTGAAGTACTCCGTATTTTTTTGGGGGGGAAATATGAATGGATCTGTCTGAAGTCTCTTTTTGGTGTCTCTGCAGGTCTCGTGATCCAACGATAATTTGGGTTCACCACCTGTGTATATTCGTTCTATGATGTTTATTCATTAGGGTAAAAGTAAAAAAGTAAATTGCTGGAAACCCATCACCATCCTGATCATCCCAACCCGACATGGTTGGGATTAAAGGGTGAAGAAATTGCTGCAGTCTGAGGGGTTCTTGTTATTGTCTGTCCATACATTGCTTAGGAATTGCAATCTCTTCAGATATATATCGTTGCAGCTTCGGTTTCTCAATCCCAGAAGCTGTCCATTTTTCCCCCCTAAAACTTGCTTCCGTCTGGGATCTTTTACACCGATAGCAGAAAGGGTGATTATTAAACACTTACCTGTCAAATGCTTCTTGGCTTGCTTCAATGTAAAGATGTTGGGTTAGGTTCTTTTTTTGCTTGGCTATTTTTTATGCCTATCAAAGTGTTTTTTTTTTTGCTGTTTGTAGTCACTGATTGAAGTTTTGAAATGTTGTTTAAGTCCTTTTTTATAGTAATATATGTGAAGGGTCTTTGGGCAGCCATGCTTTTAACTAACAGTTGGTTCATAGTGGTGTCTCCTCTGGTTATACATTATGAAGAACTGTAAACATAAGTCCTAAACCGTAGGGTATTCTTCTAGGCTCTTATATCTTTGTGTTTTTTTAATATACCCCACGAGGCAAACGTCTGAGAAAAAAATATATTAAAGTTAATTGGATAAATTAGTCACGCGTTTCGTTTTACTCCTAAATATCTTGCTTTGGAAGAAACCAAAATGGAGGAAACGAAAAGTTGGAATGGTGGTTTGAATGGTTAACTTGTGGGTACGCTATGGGTCCGGTAGCACTAGCGGTTCCCAAGTCGATTCTAGTTCAATCTGGTTTGGCTCTTTTTTTTTGTGAAAATACTCCATATTAGACTTAGGTAACTACTTTTGTTACCTACAAACAGGAATAGAAAAAATTGTCAAACTTTTGGTTATATTTCAGCTTAAGTACTTTGTATTTGATTAGAAGTGTCAAGCATAGAAAAGAGAAAAACTCAACCTGGATTCTTCGAATTGTAGTAGTTAATACTCTCTCCGTTTTAAGCTAAAGCTCCTGTTTACTTTACGATGTTTGATTGAAATAATTTTAAAATCAATATAAGTAGAAATTGATATAGTTTTTACGATCATTTCATAAAATATACTCCGTAATATTATTGTCACTTCTATTCTGTAGACTTTTTGATACAGTTTTTAAATATATACGGAGTAATATGTTCCGTACCAATTTATGAATATAGTTATTTTTAAAATCATGAAATTTTACATCGAAGAGTGCAATTTATTTAGAGACGAAGGAAGTATAAAAAAGAAAGAAAATGAAATGTATACTTGAGACCCACAAAAAATTGAAAAAGCTGCTTGCGAAAAAACTTTGGAATATGGGTAATGCTAGAAGTAAATCAGATGAGATACTTCATTTGTACACCAAACTTTTATATATACACACGTAGATACCTAAAGAACTCAAAGAAGTGTTTCAAAGGTAAGTGCCGGACAATCGATACTCCGGAAACCGCAATTATTAGCTGAGGAAAGACGACGTCGTTTGTTCATTCACTCGTAACTAAGGGAATAAGCCATAGCCGCAATATTTGATTTTTTTTTCACGGAGTATTTACTCCCTTTATTTCATGGAGTATTTTATTGATACAGGAAAGAGGAATTTTAAGTTGCTTTCTCTGTCTGGAAATAACCCATGGAGACTTAAGACTTAGCTTTTTTATCTCAAAATATTTGTCACATTTTGTAAAATGAGGTGAAATTTTAAGTTTTTTTTACAATTGTTTTATTTGAAGATTGGTATAGAAATAAAAAATTTAATTTACATAGCTTAAACTACGTTAAAAATTTTTCAAAACAAGAAGTGACAAAAATATTTTATTTTATTAACTAATCGATAAAAACGTGTAAATATACAAAAAATTTCATGATTTTAGAATAATAAAATGTACTATTTTTTTTGGAACGGAAGGAGTATATATGAGTATAAAATATAACATTCTTTTTGGAATGAAAGGAGTATGTAACTTTGAACAATTTTTTTATTTAAAAAAATTAGGGAGTATATGAAAAGATGCACAAAAATAGTGTGCACCATACAAGCATCCTCACCTGAAGAGTGGTAAGCAAATGAGGCAATCCAAGGGGTGTACAAAGGGTAATATTCGAGTTCGATTTTTGGCAACTGTACTGTGAGACAGCTAAGCTAAGTATAAAAAACTAAGTATAAAGCTCCTGTCATCAATCTGTAATTAAAGTTCAATTTACTTAACTGTCATGTCCGTTTTGGGAAGCCCTCGAGAATAAGATTCATTTTTTTCTTGTAAACAAATACTGTAATTTTTTATAGTAGAAATTAGTACAAAGGAGAAAGATTTGAATCGTAAAAGTTTTTCGAAAATGAAAAGAACATTTTTTATAGTTGTCCCGATAAAAGAAATGAAATTCCTTTTTGGGACGAAAGAGTCTTTAAAATCCAGATAAATATTTATTGCTCCCGATCCATTTAGATTTTGTATTTATTGTTTTAATTATTTTTCTAATTTGGCATATCAGAAAGCTGGAAACACAAAATACCTAATTTATTGTTTAACACAAATAATTAATGCTCCCTACGTGCCAAAATTATCATTCTAGTTAGACTTTTATACTTCTTCTGTCCCAAAAAGTCTTTTAAAAAGTATAAATTATAATATTTAAAACCACATAAAAACTCCGTATAACAAAAGATGACAAGAATATTTTATTTTATCAAATTATCAATAAAAATATACAAACAAATAAAATTATCAAAAAACTATAATTGTGACCGCGACATCTAATTCGGGGCGGGGAGAGTATGTTATAGGCAAAGATTTTTGACCCCAGCAAAAAATCATTGATTGCGGTATGCTCTGCTTTTCGTAAAAATTTTACTAGTAAAAACTAAAAGATGGATAAGAAAGAAATGTATAAAGAAAAATTGGACGAGAAAATGTTTCACATTGTCGGAAGAAAAAAGTAAAAGTAAAGAAAAAGTTTAATGTGGCCCCGCTGGAATAAAATGTCCCCTTATTTTTAAATATCTTTATGTAATATTTGTATAAAATTTAACAATAAAATTTAAAGAATTTTTCTGTCCAAAGTTAACATTTTATTTGAATTTTTACGGTATCTAATACAATGTTTTCATCATTAATTTATTTATTTATATATAAATATATATTATAAAAATATAATATTTGAAATTTATGTTTCAAAATTAATTTATTGAAATTGAATTTATATGACCATGTTAAATATATTGTATATATTTAATATTGTTATATTTGGTAGTTTCTCTTGTATAGAATCATTACATTTATGTACTACCACAATTAGGAGTCTTGTATTTTGTATATATATATATACGAGGCTTGACATCCGAGATCAATAACAGAAAATAATTATTCTTCATGGTATCAGAGTCTAGTCTCGGAACCTAGCCTCATAACTCCCGTTCCCAAAACCCTAGCGCCACCTTCTCTATCCCGGCGCCGTCTCTCTCTCTTCTACTCCGTCTGCCGGCAGTTCCCCCAGCCCTAACGCCGCAGCACCTCTGCTCGGCATCCCCCTCACCGGCGACTGCCATCTCACAGCAGCGCCAACAGTGCCGCAGCCCCCTCCCAGTGGATTCTTTTTGTGACGCAGCAGCAACTTCCCCCCATGGCCGACAAGCCCTCCTCCGACAAGTCTCCATCCTCCGCCTCAACTCCTCACTTGGCTTTCACGACCATCTCCAACGTGAAACTTCACGTTCCGATCCTCCTAAGCTTCACGGAACCGAACTACAAAAAATGGAGTCGGCTATTTCTCCTCTTGGTTCGGCGTTTCTCCCTCGGTGATTTCCTCACCGGAAAATCAACCCCCTCCGATGCGGACGACACCGATTGGTACCAACTCGATGCACTTCTACAAGGTTGGATTCTCTCTACAATCAACGACGAGGTCTCCGATCTAGTCGATCATCTCCTCCACCGACTCGGCATCCGAACTTTGGCGAGCCATTCACTCTCTTTTCCATGACAACAAACCGGCCCGGGCCATGCAATTGGAGCATCAATTCCGGACCACGAAGAAGGGCTCGCTCTCAATCTCGGCCTATTGTCAAACTCTCAAGAATATAGCCGATTGGTTGGATGACGTCGACGCCTCTGTTTCGGAACAGCAGTTGGTGTTACAAGTACTCCGAGGGCTGCCCGATGACATGCGGAGTCAAACCTCCTTCCTTCAATTCCAAACTCCGCCCCCGACATTTCTTCAAACTCGGTCAGCCCTGCTTCTACTGGAACGTCAAAGATCAGATCTGGACGATGCAGATTCTTCCTCCAGCACTGCCCTCTTCTCGGCCGGACACACCAGCGCCATCCCGCACAGTCCCGCGGGTGGAGGACGTGGCTCTTACGGTGGCAGCGGCAGTCGAGGACACCCCAGCAGTAGCAGCGGCGGTCGTGGAAGGAGCGGGCAGCGCAGCCGTGGCCGAGGACGAAGCCCCGGGTCGAATTCACGCACCACCCACGGACAGCAACCCTGGCAGCCACCAAACCCTAACCCCTACCCCGGCCTTCTCGGGCCCAGGCCCACACACTCCCCCTACCCTGCCCTCCAAGCCTACTTTGCTCACCCACATTCCCCTTA